GTCAGCATCATTTGACATTCGATTAACTCCGTCATTGTCACTGGATGACTTCAAAAGGAAATTAGATCAGTGGGCATTAAATGCTGGTGGACAGATTGAAGTTAGTTTGCAAAAATTGACATTTTTTGTATCTTTTATATTTCCTAAGTAATCAAGTTTAGGAGAATAAAAGAATCGCCTAAAAATTGGTTGAAATCGCTTTTCTTACTGCTGCTGTGTACAAACCTCTACACCATATAAAACTCCATTATAATTGTGGAAAAATTTAGTAGTAGTATTGACGTTTCGTTTTGACGTGCTCTCGGTGAAAGCATACTAGAGGAACAAACGTAAAACAACTGCGACAAATTTAAGCTAGTTCTTAACCAATTGTAAAATATTTACCATAATGGAATAGTTCGGAGGAGGAAATTTATATAGAAACTTAACAGTACTTAATGAGTCTCCTAATTTTTTTCTTATAAATCAATAGTACAACAACCTAATAATTGGTCCATATAGAAGTAGATAATCTGTCTTCCTGAGCCCTTTTAACCACATAACTAGATTCTCAGGAGTCCTCACACTGTTTCCAATTAGGGAATTACGGCCGATTTGTGTTATATTCTATCTACGCAGAGAGAATAATGCAATCGGTACATTCAACTGTCATCACTATTGTATGGTGAATGAAGTAATTCTTCGTTATCATTTTAAATGATATTACCATCATACAAAGGTAATTCCACTACTCAGTTTACGTAATTTATTTAAGTTAAACTCTATTCATACTTGAATTTCGCGCAAGAACTCACATATCGTTTTCTCGATTCTGATTGGCTCATCCGTACGCTATTTCCTTTACTGTTCTTTTTTCCTGTGATATTAACTGAAAATGTAGTGGTTTCATCAGAAAAATACCTTTTTGAACCGTTAAATTTGTGCGTACGCCTCACTTTTGGAACAGTTCTATGTTATGGTTATTAAAATCGGAACAATGAATTTGAGATATATTACATTTTCGAGAATGCTAGTGGATAAAGGACCGCATGTGATTGAGTAATATGATATTCTATGATAACATTTAACCTTTGCCCGTATATTGTGTACGTATAATGGATATTCCCTGTCTAATATTCGCTTCTTTTTGTAATTTAGTTCGAATTCATCAATACTGGAGTTGATCTGAAACAATCAGTTATTACCCCAGATGAATCCACTAATCCTTGGTGGGCTACTTTAATTAATGTCTGTTCAAAACACGGTAGTAAAGTTCAAAAGAGAATATTTCCTGGTGGTACAGATGCCAGATTTGTTCGAGAATATCATTTACTTCCACATGCTACTAATAACAAACCAATACAAGCAATTGGATTTTCGCCGATCAAAAATACCCCCGTTTTATTGCATGATCATGATGAATGGTTAGATAAAACAGAATTTTTGCGTGGATGTCGATTGTACTCTGATCTTGTTCAAGCTCTCGCCGAATTACCCTGACCTAGTGGTTTCTATTCAGTTGTATTGCTTTTGTTTCATTGGTCTTTGTTAATTAGTGACTGAATTTCGTACAGTTATTACTTATAGTTTTAAGTTTAGTGTCAATGTTTTACGTAATTGTATCCGGTGATTTAAATAAATATATGGGTTATTTCAGTTAATAGAATTATTTTTTTCATGATGATACGTTATGAATAAGACAGTTGTTACTGACTGTAGTCGGAATTCATATTTCGTTGAAAAAAATGAAGCCGAATATCCTTCTTTATCTAGACCTTTCCGGAATGTGAATCGTCAATACATTTGTGTCTTTTTGTTGTTGTGCTCATCGTTATGCTACAACATACTTTTAAAGCAGTGCGCGAAATATATTTTGCGTTTAAGTTGTTTTTTGATCTAAGGTTTTAGTTGCTAATCAGGAAGACTATAGGATTTCCTATTGTTTTACAGGTTTGGGTGTATTGCATTAACAGCGCACATAACCACTGTCTATTCTTATCACATGGAATATGGTTGAACGATACTAGATCGGTCATTAGAAATAGTAATTCCAGGTCTCATTTTTACAGGCAATTGGTTCCATTGAACTGCCTTCTTCGTACGGCTTTAATTTAAACAAAATAGCATATCAGGAAACTACTCAGTTTTTACACTTGGCAGTAATGTTGTTTCAGTTACAGAAATTTAATTGCGGATTTTCGGTGCTTGGTTTGCAGATTTAGTTTCAGAAGTCAGGAAGCATACTCATTACTGTCGATACAATGAGCTAATAGATTTTAGGAAAACACCTCAGATATCTGTATAACCGTTCACCAGTTTTGTTAGGTAAGGGACGATTAATATTCCAAAGGTAATAGTGATGTATGGTTTGATGGATTTGAAGTATCTTTGGCTGTATGTAAGGGGACTGGGTCGATGCAACAGTGTTCTGTGGATGTTTGGAACTTGAACCCCATCAGGTAACTTGTTTATAACAGCATAGCTTAAATATATAAGTCTATATTTTCGTAAAAAGTCTCCAAATGTCAGAAAAAGTTCCGTAAACACTTTGACAAACCGACACAACTTGAACTAGATAAGTTTCGGGGATCGCTGTTAGCATTTTTCTTATCCAGGCTAAGCGTTTGTGAATTTGAGGGTATCTTCTCTGTTCCCGAGAGTCTCATTGTCATCTACTTGCGTTTTTGAAAAACTTGATGACAGGAAATACGGAGTAGAGCTCGTCAACTAATGACCAATCGACATTCTGGTAAAAAACAATCTGTCTTCTAACATTCTACTTATTCATTAGTATCAGACCTTCGTTCGTGCGAATCAAAGAGATTCTGTAGTAACACAAAAACAAATAGCATAAATGATAACCATCTCACTTTGAATCAAAAGATCAACGGAACATACAGATGAAGAGATCAAGAAGAATAGCTCCACATTTAGAACAACGGCAACAAATTACATTAAAAAACATGTATATAGAGGAATTTCCATGCACATCCAAGAGAAATTTCAGATAGAATCTTACATTTGTGCTAAGGGCCTTAATTAAGCTACTTACACCTGTTACCCAAAATGGAGGAGCATAAGCTACTCACCAGCGTTCTCCATCGAACTATATACTGAACAATCCTTCACAGTTGTTTCCAATCACTACACACTTTTGGATATGTGCTTTCAATTCTTGATACAATGTGTTCCTTAGTCTTCCTCTCTTTCATTTCCCTTCAGAGTTCCAAGTAAGCGCCTGCCTCGTGATGCAGTTTGATAATTTTCGAGATACATATCCTACCCACATCCAACGTCTTTCCTCAACTCCCTCTTCAGCTGGAAGCCAATTTGTTCTCTCTCTCCCACAGTAGGCTGTTAATGGTATCCGGTCAGTGGACCTGGATTATCTTGCGTAGACAATTTTTTAAAAATACCTGTACCTTTTTGGTGATGGTTTTGGTAGTTCTTTAAGTTTCGGATCCACACGGTAGAACTTTCTTGATGCTCCTATTGAAGATTCTGACTTTGATGTTGGTTGACAGTTGTTTTCAACTGAAAGGATGTGATCCTTGCTTTGTCGATCCATGCTGTTACTTCTGCATCGGATCCTCCTTGTTCATCAATGATTTTTACCAGACACGTGAAAGTTTACACCTATTCCAGAGCTCCGTCAAGTGTGAATGGGTTGGTATTCTTTGTATTGTATTCGAGGATCTTGCTTTTTCCCTTGTATATCTTGAAGCCTACTGATTCATAGACTGCTGCTACACTAGTTTTCGTCACCCACATTTGTTGATATGTATGTGATCGAATGGCTAGGTCATCTGCGAAGTCCCAATCATCTAGTTGTATCCAACCTGTGGATTGCATCCCGTGCTTCTTCTGAGATGTTGAGGTCCTCACGATCCAGTTGACCACTGGGAGGAAAAGAAATCAAGAGAGTAAGCAGCCTTTTCCAATTCCTATCTTCGCTTGCGATGCATCTGTCAGCTGTCCTCCATGCACCACTATGCGGTGTAGTCCATCGTATGAGTTTCCGAGGATGTTGACGATCTTCTCAGGTACACCATAGTGCGAAGAGGGTTCCATTAGGTTCTCCTGTTCACGCCGTAAAACGTCTTTTCATAGTCGAGGAAGTTGATGTATAATAGCGAGTTCCATTCAACCGATTGCACAACGATGATCTGTAGTGTCGCGATTTGGTCTATACACAACCGACCCTTACAGATTCCGGTCTGTTGATCTGGAAGTTGAACGTTCATTCAGTTCGGCAACATTCTGCTGAAAACTACTCCTGGTACCGATAATTATGTGATGCCTCTGTAGTTCTCACATTTGCTTAGATCTCCTTCTTTTGTTTTCATGATGAGGTACATTGAGTCCTCCGAGTTTGTCGGTATCTGGAAGGATGACTGTATTAAACTTTCACAATTCTGTTTCTCTAGTTGTCCAGTGTTCCTTCGATTTCAGTTTCATCGTTGCCACAGCTAGGTGGTGATCTGAAGCTAAGTCAGCTCTTTTCTTGGTTCTCACGTTTTCCATGGATCCTCTGAATTTTTTATTGATGCAAACATGGTCGGTCCTGTTCTCTGTAGTTTGGTCCGGTGAAACCCATATAGCTTTGTGTATGCGTTTGTGGTGGGAAATTATGTCACCTGTGGCCATGTTTTTGAAAACACATTAATCTATAAGTCCCTCACCATTCTTGTTCCCTCCTCCGATTCCATGTCGTCCCATGACAACTGCAACCCCACTTGGTGAATGCATAACATTGGGTAGAATTCATTGTGATCCTTTCCTTCTTTGTTTTGTAGAATGTTTTGACGGTTCTACATCCATGAGACTCCCATCCTAAAAGTGCTTTTCATGCTTCTTCAGACAGCATTATAGCAAATCGCTCACTGTGAGTAGCACCTTCCTCATCGTGCCCAGGGTACAGCAGCATCTCTACCGTATCTAGCCTATCCTTATCAGCTTGGATCCAATGGGTTTCACCGGCTGTTGAGTGGCTTGTTAAATTGGGTCAAGAATTACAGCTCATGTGCAATGTCGTTGAAATCGTTCCAGATAATCCTATCGTCATCATGCGTTGGGATGGATATCAACCGGAATTACCAGCAATCATGTTAAATTCACATATGGACGTAGTACTGTGGTGTGAGCTACTTATATTCATATAAGTAGAATATAACGTGCGTTAAATAAACGCAAGGTCCGGCAGCAGAAGATGGCGAAGATCAAGAAAGGAAGAGCAAGAGCACAATGGAATTGTAAGAAAACACATGTACAATGGAATGGGAGACAATGGATTAGTGTTTGCAACGGGAACAGTACAGTTTGATATGATTGGAATGATATTTTGCAAATTGACGATTGACTTTATGGTATTCATATTTTATTCAGATAGTCTGTAATCTTTGTGCTAAATACAGTCGATTGTCCCCACCCGTGTTCTTGTTCACTACAGTACCAGTAGTCGAAGAAAAATGGTCATATCCTCCATTCAGTGGTACAATTACACCTGATGGTAAAATATACGGTCGAGGTACTCAGGTAATTAAATCTCATGATTATACTGTTCGTTAGAGCAGCCTAAATATTCACTTTTTACTCAAATGTAAATAGTTATTATGATAAACTTATTATAGTTGAACTAGTAGATCGATATGATTGTAGTTATAAGAAGTATTTTACTGTAAATTTTGTTGTTGCATGTTAGTAACTAGTTTTCTGTGCAGGCTTGGTCTGACCATTCGCGTAATCGTATACATCTTATGGAATTTGAGTTATATAGATGGTCGTCTACACGTTAATACAAGTCTTCGCTTTTAACAGAAAAGGCTGCTACTTTAACATTTGTTCGTGAAACAATCGGCGAATTTTCCGTAAATCCTGAGTGACCGCGTGTCAAACTAGTCATCATCAACTTAGGACCTTGCAAAATTGTACACTAACCCCAATTCCCATACTATATCAGCACCTTGCGGGAAAATGCACTAAATCAACAGCAAGGCAGTCGGGGTAGTATTTGGAACCTAAGTTCTGTGGGATTATAGATTGACTAATGGCACACTTCAGTCGTATTTAAGCTGAAACTGGTGCGAAAATTTATTGTATTAACGCATAAGATTGTCCAATTTACCTATATATGCATGGCTTATTTTGTCTATTGTGGTGCAATAATTATGGATTTAGAACTGTAAAGTCTGGTGATCGAGTTAGTGGAAACAATTATTTCTTCAGGTATTCCTTGTTCTTAAATACTGAATACGTTCTGCACTCCTGCGTCCTATCTTGAGCCATGACACCTAAGGCTGCCGGTTATCAGTCACGATTATTGCTCAGACTCTATCCAGGTAGTTTTTACATACACACACAGCCTAAACCAATGGTCATTGACTTAATATACTGGGACCTCAACTTAATTTGTCTGCCTTAGCTTTCTTATTCATTTTGGCTACAATCCCATCTAACAATCTTGTGGAATCTTTTAACTGTGTAAATACGTATTGATATTTTTTCTAGTCTGTAAACTAGATTCTGAAAGGAAACACTAAGAACATCCCTTTTGAAAGTGAACGTTTCATTCAATAAAAATTTTAATAGTTGAGATCATGAGTCAATTGAAGCTAGACCACCATGGAAAACCTGAAAGCATTGAACGGCCGTTTCGTCCCACTGTGGGACTCCTCAACAATGCGCATCCACGATCTCGCCTCGCGGAATTCGAATCCAGGACCTACCAGTTTCGCGCGCGAGCGCTTAACCTCTAGACCACTGAGCCGGCATCCAACGGTGGTAATGTCTAACTCCAACTAGTCCGCGAAATTGAGCGACACATCCACCATCTCGCGAGGTGAGATCGCGGATGCGCACTGTTGAGGATTCCCACAGTAGGACGAAAAGGCCGTCCAGCGCTTCCAGGTTTTCTCTGGTGGTCTAGATTCAATTGGCTCATGATCTCAACTACTAAAATTACTATAATATCCACAACAAACCCTCTCTGATAATAAAAATTGTGTTACCATGTTTTTAATCAGATGAGTTCATATTTTACACCTTGAAAACTATTCCTTACCTCGATAGTTTCAAATAAATTGAGGATTGGGCAGAAGGCGAATAATAAATATATTTTTGTGAATTGACTCTCATGTGGCCACAAAATGTCAGATACAATATTCTACTTGTTGGGATACCTCAAAAATATATTTATTATTATTCCGAACCTACTTCAGAACGGGTGTAATTTACCTAGTATTTATGGTAACAATTTTCCATGTTGTGTTGCAAACCACCCCCATTACTTATTGCAAACTCCAACTTACGATTTTCTCACCAAATTTGCCCATCCTAGGTGTCATTAAGGATGCTTTCTCCCTATTATTTTTCCATCTTTTGATAAGTTATTTTTTCCTTACTCTTAAGGACATTGTAATTATATTTATGCGTAATAGTTGTTATCCTACTTTAATCTTTTTTAGTGTTATTAATAAAATTAACACTCAAGGCTTAACTGTTTTCTTAACTGGGGATCATGAACTAACATAGCAAAATATATTCATTCATGGCTTAGTAGATTAAAGCTAGGAGTAGGATACATTAGTATTATGTACAATTTAGTTTGTCAACATATTTTTAAAAATTCAGTTGTACATATCACATTTCAAAATAAATTCTTCTAAAATAAGTTTTTAAAACTGCTATGAACTATCCATATATCACCCATTTGACGCTCTTTCTGAAAAATTTCGGATTCTATGTATCTTTTTGTTATTTTAATATTGGTGTAGGGTGTGTGTGGAGATTTTTGAATTTTCTTCTGTACGTCACGAACTGACCTTAGTTATCTAACTATTAAAGACTGAGGAGCACTGGAAAACTGTTTCATCTTAGTATGATACTTCCCATCTTACTAGTAACTGATTTACAAAAACAGTTTTCCTATATACGTTGTAAGGACGTAACCAGAGGAGTCCAACCAGGCCAAGAGTGAGGAAGTTGTCCACCAATCGGATTGGAAAATGACCGAGTAATATCACGAATTGATTAAAATCAGTAATGTAAACCATCGGATCCCAACTCAGTTTTCTAAACTTCAATGACTCACTGTGAGACCTGGAAGTTTTCAGCCCGATTTCCGATAGTGTCGTCAATGTTCACTTGGAAGTCCTATACTGGAGTGGAATCGATGTTTTCGATAGTTGTCTAACCAACGTCAGTTTGTAATGTGGACTGAAAAGTTAGTTTATTACTTGTGAAATTTTGAAATACATCATTGAATATTCTGTCCTGAGATGTTATTTAACCTGTTATGCCATTCATATTCTTTTGTTGAAGGATATGAAATCAATTGGTATCCAACAGTTGGAGGCTATTCGACGATTAAAATCACGTGGATGCAACCAGTTGCGTCGTACAGTTTACTTGACTTTTGTACCTGACGAGGAGTTAGGTGGTGTGAAAGGAATGAAACCATTTGTATTGAATCATAATGAATGTAATAATCATCATTCCGAAGAAGTTAGATTTCAAGATATGAATATTGGGCTTTGTTTAGATGAAGGTATACCAAGTTGTTCAGAGGATTATTTAGCATTTTACGACGAACGTCGTCCAGTTTGGATAAATGTACATTTTCATGGTAATGCAGGTCATGGTCTGGCTTTAATTGAAAATACGGCCGCTGAAAAATTCCGGATATTTTTAAATAGGTAAGACTTCTTAAAATATCTTCCATGTTTTTATTTGGGTTTGTGTTGATTCCATATCGTATTTTCAAGGGATTTTATATATATTGAATAAGATGTCTTTTATTTTTCTGTCGATGGGACTGATAGTAGAATGCAAGATATACTTTTTGTTTGCTACTGTTAATCCTAAATATGATAACTGTTTAACTCGAAATGTACGTTTGAATGAGTTAATGTCTACATTTTTCTCTTGCTGCAATAGAAACTCCTCATCTTTAACTGTTATTTGTTTATTTCAACACATAAATATTGGCACAATGGGGCACCAAATGCATATGCGCCACATATAACAATGAGAAGAGGAAATAAAGAAGGTAAGGAGCGTAAAAGAAATAAAGAACAATAATGACCAGATTAGTGTAATGTAGTGTAATAATAATGAAACGGAAAGGTACAACCAGAAGAAATCTTTCAGTTAAGTAAGATACAACCATTTTCTATGAAGAAAGTAAAATAAGGCTACAGCAGGATTGCCACTGGCTTCTATTCTGAGCCATATCTGAAAACGTATCTAGCCACTTTGTTGCACCGTCTCTCGGATCCCAGCCAGGGAGTCGTGAAGGACCAACAGAAGCCAACCCTTTGCAGCTTTCCTTCATGCCACGACACCATGTCATACACTGACAACCTATCGGCTTTTTCCAACCTGTCCCACTGTCGGCAAATGATGCACGACGTGGAATTCTGTGGGACGACATTCGTAGGACATGTCCAAGTCACCAAAGTCGATGTTTCAAGATGGTGACACCAATTGGATTATCGTCTCTGCGCTCGAACACACGATGCCGAACCTCTGCGTTACTAACATGGTGTTGCCACTGAATGTCAGCAATCCTTCGGAGACAACGATGATCAAACACAGAGAGTCGTCTGACATCCTCAACTCGGAGAGGCCAGATTTCACAAGCATAGTGCAAAATTGCTCTCACCGACGCGTTGTATATTCGACCTTTTACAGCCAGTCTGACATCACGAAGGCGCCAATGGTGACCCAGATTGGCATAGGCCGCTCTGGCTTTCACTATACGTGCGTTGATCTCATCGCTCACATCACCATCAGCACTTATGCAGCAACCTAGATACACGAACTTCTTGACTACTTCTATCTGCTCACCATACAGGGTGAGTACAGGATTAGAATCCTGCCAGTCTTGTAGAAGTACTTTGCACTTCGAAGGTGCAGACAACATACCATACTTACTGGCACTGATTGTCAACTGATTAAGTGTGGATTGCATGGCTTGGACATTATCGCACAGTAACACAATATCATCCGCATACTCAAGGTCGAGAAGTCTTTCTCCAGGCAATAGATCCACACCACCATTACTTACATCCATCAGAGCTGTTTTCAGAATGTCAGCGATGGCAAAGTTGAGAAGGAATGGTGAGATTGAGCAACCCTACCTAACCCCACTGCTCGAATGGGACAATGGAGGTGTTTGTATATAGGGCCTTTAGGATGTTAATGAACTTCTAAGGCACACTCTTCTTCAATAGACAACCGCAGAGAACAGTCCTGTCTAACGAATCGAAAGCAGCCCTGATGTCAAGAAACGCTACGATTGTTGGCTTGTGATAAGTATGTCGGTGTTCCAACATTTGGCGGAGGGTGGAGATATGATCAATACATCCTCGACCAGAACGAAACCCAGTCAATTTTTCTCGGGTTTTGAACAACCTACGAAGTATGACGGAAGCCAATAGCTTGGACGCAATAGGAAGTAGACTTATCCCCCGATAGTTATTACAGGAACAACTTGAACCCGTTTTAAAGATAGGAACAACTATCGACTCATTCCATGACGTTGGAAAACTCCCAGACCTTTGTAAACAACGTTGTCATTTCCTTGACCAGAAAGTCAACACCATCTTTAAAAGGAGCAGTTTCGGTTATTTGTAGTGCTTCAAGAGTTGGAGTTCCTTGCGGACCTCCGCCTCATTTGGTTGATCAGTCGTCATTAAAAAGTTTTTTTTAATTGATGGTGTACTTCAGAGGCTGATATTCACGGCACAATTATTATTATTATTATTATTATTGTAGCGGTAAATAAATCCCCAAAATAAATAGCTCGGTAAGTTTTCGACATTGGATGCTGACCATATGTTTTAGTGGACTCATCTAGCTGAAGGCGCTCGGTCAGGCATCCGCACCAGATCACGTGTGGTAACGCCGTGCTCAACATCAACCGCAATCGCTAGCCAGATTAGATCAGAGAATCCCGATATATTGGTCATCGCCAAATATACTTTTCCGATCTCCTCGACTCTGTCTTTTGATTTCTCTGGGCGGGAACGAAATATATTGAAAGGTGTTACTGGTAGAAGCGTTGTCAAACACTGAATACCTGTGACATCATCACTGGTGAAACCGACGTGATCTGGTACACCTAATTGCAACTGTGAGTCTGTTCCTTTTTGGGATTTTTATATATCATTGCCTTATTTTTTCACTTTTTTTTAAACATTGTGATTTTTTTCGTGTTTTTTCCTGGATATATATATATTTTCCCCTCGTTCATTATCGTACTTCATACTTCATCATGACTGAACAGACACCTAAAGTACTCAAGCTTAAGACTTTGTCCCTGCCTTCGTTTCAACTGATGCCTTTCTGGCCCGACAACATCGAAGCCTGGTTCTGCTACGCAGAAGCCGACTTCTCCGAGCACGGGGTGATCGACACACGTGCACAATTCCTCGCAGTAGTCAAGGCACTACCGCGCGAATTCAACAGGTACGTAACACCTAGTATGTTTACTAGTGATGTTTCCGATCCTTACGAAATCTTAAAACGCTCGATTCTTAAACGAGGAGACCTAACCGATCGACAAAGGTTAGACCAACTCTTCAACAATATCGACCTGCAACACGGTTCTGCGACGGACATGTTGCAACGGATGAGAGAGGTAATAGGCCCAAGAACTTTCGACGAAGGTCTATTCAAACAACTCTTCTTGTCAAAACTTCCCCAACAGGTGCAAGCAGTTCTGGTCTCGTTCCAGAACAACGCCTTAGACGAACTAGCTGCATCTGCCGACCGCATTTTAGAAATTACGAAATCTACTACCGAGGTATTTTCAGTCAAAGAAAAACCTCAAACGACTCAGAATGATATAAACGACTTATGTCACACACTCACGCGTTATCTTAGTCTTCGTACCGACCGTAAGAGATCGCGCACACCACGTAGAAGCATCTCTCGTAAGCGATCTGTCTCTAGAACACGAGAGACAGATAACCCCGACTGGTGCTGGTATCATAACCAGTATGGAAAGCTTTCCAGAAATTGCAGAAAACCCTGCAATTTTCCAAACACGAAACTGACTGATTCGAAAAACAATTCGGGAAACTTCCAAGCCGGCACGCGTTAACGGCAACCGTAGCCGGCGAACAAAACCGTCTGTTATTCGTCACAGATGTGACAACGAGAGTTCGCTACCTCGTCGACACTGGCGCAGAAGTTAGCGTTCTCCCAGCAAATCCTAACGACCGGCTTCAGGAATCGGCTTTTAACTTAATGGCGGCAAACGGAAAACCGATCGCTACGTATGGCAAAAGGTACGTTTACCTTAACGTGGGTTTACGCAAACCCATCCACCGGATTTTCGTTATTGCAGATGTTTCTATGCCAATCATTGGTATGGATCTTCTACAACACCATAATCTGATCATCGACAGGCGCAAACGGAAGCTAGTAGACGGAAACACTAATTTGTCCGTTTGCGTAACTTCTTTTACTGGTTGTAGAGTATCCCCAGTCACAGTTAAACATATGATAGACCCACTCTATCAACCACTACTCGATAAGTACCCTGGGATACAACAAACTCAACCGAAACTACCGTGTGTAACCAGCAATGTTACACATCACATCACGACTACAGGACCACCTGTATTCTCTAAAGCACGACGACTAGCTCCTGAAAAGCTAAGGTTAGCGAAAAACGAATTCGATCACATGATGGACTTAGGAATCATACGACCGTCGAGTAGCCCATATGCATCTCCGTTGCACATGGTCCCTAAAAAGGACAGCAACGATTGGTGTCCAACTGGTGACTATCGGCGATTAAACGCGAAAACCATTCCCGATCGTTACCCGTTGTCACACATTCACGATTTGACAGCTACTTTGAAAGGTACAACCGTCTTTTCGAAAATCGACTTGGTTAAAGCGTATAACCAAATCCCTATGGCTACTGACGACATACCGAAAACAGCTATCATAACTCCTTTCGGACTCTATGAATTTTTGCGAATGCCTTTCGGTCTAAGGAATGCTGCTCAAACATTCCAAAGATTCATAGACGACGTTTTTCGAGGTCTCAACTTCGTACATGCGTATGTTGATGACTGTCTAATCGCAAGTCCGGACAGAGAAACACATCTCAAGCATCTGGATCTTGTTTTCGAACGATTACAAAAACATGGCATAACTAAAAACGTTCAGAAATGCCGATTCGGAACCGACTCGTTAGACTTCCTAGGACACACTATCGATGCTCAAGGCATTCGACCTCTTGGGACCAAAGTGGCGGCCATTCTGGATTACCCAGAACCGACCACCGTCAAGCAATTACGCACGTTCAACGGCCTCGTAAGTTTCTATTGACGTTTCATACCGAAATGCGCATTACTTATGAAACCTCTGATCGACTAACTTCGTGGAAATGCGAAATCCATTAGTTTGGACGACACCGCACGAAAAGCATTCTCCACAGTTAAGGAACTGATTGCTAAAGCAACAATGCTCGCACATCAGGACACCCGAGCACCCATTAGCATCGCAGTAGACGCATCCGACTCGGCAATCGGAGGAGTCTTACAACAATGGGTTAACAACTCCTGGCAACCCTTGGCCTTTTTCTCTAGAAGGTTGCTAGACACCGAATCGAGGTACAGCACATTCGGTAGGGAACTCCTAGCTATGTATTGTGCTGTACGGCATTTCCAACACTACAT